CTCGCATTCATGCGTTCGCACAGCACAGGTTTAGCAGCTACCCAAGAGACAAAGTGGTCTAACTCCACCAAGTTCCCTTCTTGTGACTCATACACGATCGTCCATCGCAACCGCGGTCACAACAAAGGCGGAGGTTTGGCCTATCTGGTTGGGGCCGACCCCACGGAAGAATTAACGTCGTGAAATTGTACATCCCTCCAACTTCCAGTTGCTCCTCCGGTTTCACCGCATCTACTGCTCCCTACTTACCTTCTGAAGATAGTTTGGTGCTAGGTGATTTCAATGCCCACTACGACCTTTGGTGCTCTAATTTGGCGGCCAGTAATGTAGAACACGTTTTCTTCGAAGTCCTCAACGAGGACAACCCAACGTCGCTTCCTCCCAACGGTGTACCCAGCTCGCCCGACGTTTCCCTCGCCAGTCTAAGCCTGGTAGTCTCCACCACGTGGAGCACGGAAATCAACCTATGGAGGAATCATCTCCCTATACTGCCCAAATTGGCCACCGCCGCTGACCGTATCAAGGCTCCAAACAGGCACTTCATCAACTTCAATCAAGCCCATTGGGCAGCGTTTACCGCCGAATACGAAGCCGATATCGATCTACTACCTCCTTCTACCTACGTCCACAGGGCGGAGCGAGCCCTCCGTCAACTCCTACTGGAAACAACAAGTCACCACATCCCGAACGGCTACATTCCCTTACTTCGTCCCAACTATCCGCCTGAGACCTCCCGCCTTGAACGTGAAAGAGATGATATACGATAACATCATACCAATGACCCGCACATCCGCGAACTGAATGACTTTATCACCAAGATCGCCGGCAATGGCAAACGCCAACGCTCGCATAAACAAGTTGCGGGTTGCAATTTCCGTGGCAACGCAGCTGCCACTTGGAAACTTCAATGCAACCCGACCAAGCACCAGGCTGATTTATCTCACCAGCCTATTAGCTTCCTCGAAAGCAACTTCCTTTCAAAAAATGCTAAGATAGCCACAAAGATAAACAAACTGTTCTCGGACATTTCCTTCCGGGCTGATGCTATCTTCACCACCGTCCAGACAACGAGAGTGTTAAAAACCTTAGGACCAGATGGCCTGGCGCCTATCATCCTGCGCTATATCGGCCCTAAGGTGGCTGTCTACCTTGCTGCCCTTTTCAGCCCTTCAATGGCTAACTTAATCATCCCGGATGGCTGCCGCCAGCCGATCATTATTCGTCTGGTCCAAACTAGTATGGACTCCTGTCTAGCGACCCCTTATCTCCCAATTTTCCTCCTCAGTCCACTAGTGAATATCCGGGAAGGGCTCATTCACCCAATTCTGACCTCTGCGGCGGAACTGCTTTGCCATCCAAATGGGTTTAACTCAGGTCGTAGCACCACAACGGCGCCTTTCGAGCTCAGCGATGCCATCCCCGAGTGCCTCAACCAACAGAAGCCCGCTTCGCGCACCTAGGCAGTCTTAATCGACATGTCATGTGCTTTTGACTGCGTTTGCTAGGATCAGCTCCTGCAGAGCTTGGTCGTCCTGAACCTGCCGACTTGCCTTCGCCGATGGCTTGCGATTTATGTCCGTGGTCACTACAATCGTGGGCTTTCTCACGACACTCTCTCTAAGCCCCTTAAATACACCTGCAGCGTTCTTCAAGGCTCTGTGCTCAGTCCAACGCCTTTCAGCATCTGCATGCGAGAACTTCCACTCCCTCGGACACCTACAAAAGTGGTATCACAAGCGGATGATTTTGTCTTCTTCTGCTGGCACCATCAAGTCAATCAGGCCGCATAGCTCCTCTTGGACCTCATGCCTGATGACGTAAACTTCGTCAATTTACGCGGGATGACGATCTCAGAAGGCAAGTCGTCCGTCACTGTTTTCCCGCTGGACCTAAAGGAGTTCAATCGTCATCGAGCCATCACGGTCAACGGTGCGTCTTTACTGCTCGTCCGTAAACCTAAGCTCCTAAGTGTCCTTTTTGATCCGCTCCTTATGTTCGCGGACCATGCCATGGAGGTCGCAGGCAAAGTGAGTCCTCAAGGCTCTATCAGGCATATCCTACGGCTGCGCAAGAAACTTTGGCGACCACATTCAAAGCGCTGACCATGCCGTACCTCACTTATGCGACACCAGTCTGGTCTCCTAAGATCAGCTCTTCCAGCCTCTACCGCCTTCAGTCAGCACAGAACGCTGCCATCCGCACAATCATGGGGTGCTATAAAATGTCGCCTATCGATCATTATCATGCAGATGCTTCTGCTCTGCCCGTCGCTCCTCCTATCGCACTCATAGGCCAGCAGTTTTGGTGGGCCGGTTCGCAACCTGACCATCATAATCACAACCGTTGCCACGCTCTTAGACCCAGCCACCGGGGTCGTTCGCATATTACAGTTCTTAACAAGGAAGCTATCGCCTCTTGTCTCTCGGATCCAGCGTCTTTACCAGATAGCCGCTGTCGTAGGAAAACAAATCCGCCATCCCGCGGTCGTTTTGGGCTACTATACACCTGCGATTTCGACCTTGGGAAGACAACTCTCGGGGGTTTCTTTCTGTTCCTTTACTCAATTACCAAGTGGTTACTCAATGGTCCTTTGCCATTAATAAAACCGGCTCGACTTGTTCACATCCTACAGCTGTCCCGACTGCAGCATCTCTCCGCATGATTGTCAGCATCTTTTCGCCTGCAGTTCCCGGTCAGACACCTACCTCAACCCCACGGATCTTTGGCTCAAGCCGGTCGAAGTCTCGGCTTTCCTCTGTCTTCTAACTAGAACCAGTTTGAACTCCGGCGGAGATTATTGATCCAACAAGGGCTACAACACACACGCACTCAACTTGACGTTAAATACTTCATATGTGTAAGTCAAAACCGAGCTGATTAACACTTTCGAAAACAATACTCGCAGTTTAAATGAACGTGTTGCTAATTGTATACCGTGGTTGGATATTTGTTGGACTGTCCAGGCAACTCGGAACTCTAATGCAGAAGGATTTTTGGAGGTTTGTTATAACCTTAAAAATTTATATAAACCGTTTTTGGTGTTAGCTTGTGATGATGAAACCTGTATGGTAAAAAATTTCAAGAGGTGATACTCACATCAACCAAGTGGAGGTAAAACCAATTAGGAAAATACTTCATCTTGAATGCGAAGGTAGTATTTTTAGGAATTTGGGCTTCAAGATGCGGCCTCGATTGTACTTCACTGCTTACATTTAAACAGTAAACTTCGCATACACAGTACGTTAAGAAAAACAAATAAGGCCTTTTGGTAAGACACTCAAATTAGAAACTATTTATACGGTTTCTCAGAGAATACTGCCCAACCGTATTATCTCATACTTAATCGGTAATATAAAAATAATCAAGTGCCGTTCCTGTGTTTTGCATTCAGTTTTCTGCAAAATTATCAGGGACAATAACTTCTGTCAAAGTTAGGGACAGACCACTCAATGACAAAAATCTTCCCCGTCCGTATTGTACGCCGACGACCTGAAAATATGGCGCGATGTCACAGGTGCCAACGACATAGTCGCCCTGCAACAGGACCTTATCCAGTTAGCCTCT